GTCGATTTGCAATACAAGAGGTTTCTTCACTTTGACAATCATTTCTTCAAGTATAGATCTGATCCAAATTACTTGACATGCAGCATATGATTCTGCTATATATTCAGCTTCACACGATAATAATGTCACCACAGGTTTCTTCTTCGAACACCATGAAATTGGAGCACCAAATACTTGAAAGAAATATCCAGTTGTGCTTCTTCAATCTTCCTTATCTCCACACCGATCAACATCTTGAAAAAAATTAACGGTTGCTTCTTTTCTTTCAGAGTCTCGTCGAAATAGTATTCCACAGTTTATTGATCACTTTAAGTATCTTAGGATTCTTCTTGCAGTCTTCATGTGTGACACCCTTGGTTCACTCATGTATCTGCTCAGTAATTCGACTGTGAAACCTATATCAGGTCGACTGTTGCACACATACCTCAGAGATCCCGCGATTTGCTTGAACAAAGTTACATCGACTTTGTTTTCCTTTCTATTCTTCTCCAACTTCATATTTGGTTCGATAGGTGAGGATGCAGGATTTGAACCATCCATTTTGAATCTCTTGAGTATCTCTTTGACATACTTCCTTTGATGTAACATCATACCTTACTTCGACTTTTGAAATTTCATGCCTAGGAAATAAGACAATTTTCCCATATTCGACATTTCAAATTCCTTCATCATTAGCTCTTTGAACTTCGACAAGTTCTCCAAACTATTTCCAGTTACCATCAAGTCATCGACATACAAGCCGATGATTGTCATATCTTGTGCTACAACCTGAACATAAACACAATACTTAGACTTGCATTTTACAAATCCCAATTCGACTAAGTAAGAGTCGATATTCTTGTTCCATGTTATAGGTACCTGCTTGAGTCCATACAGTGCTTAGTGCAACTTATATACTTTACTCGCTTCCTTCTGAATAACAAACCGTTGAGGTTGTGTGACATTGACCTATTCGTCTAAAGGACCATTCAAAAATGTTGATTTTACATCTAAAATAACCGTCAACCAGCCTTGGTTGCATGCCAATGCTACAACTTGTCAAACAGTCTCCAATCTTGCTGCTTTAGCAAATACTTTAGAGTAGTCGAGTCCTTCTCGTTGAAGAAACCCTTGTGCTACTAATCTTGCTTTATGTCTTGCTATCGACCCATCAACATTCTGTTTCAACTTGAACACCCACTTTACTTTGATATCTTTTGTATGTGCTGGAAATTCGAATAACTCCCGTGTATTATTTCTTTCGATTGCCTGTAACTCTTTGACCATATCTAACTTCCATAGTTTAATCTTCAAAGCTTCATTATGGATGCTTGGTTCAACATTTGCAAGTAAAGAAAAATGAACTAATTCTCCATCTGGTGTGACTTCATCATCATCCACCACTTCATAATTATGAAGATTTGTTGGAAGAACTCTATTTCTTTGAGGTCTTTGGCTTGTTTCAGCCACACCCTCTTCGACTTCAATATTGTCAGGAGTATCAGCAATTACTTTAACTTCGACTAAAAGATTAACAATTTCTTGAACTTCGACTTCATCAGCTTCTTCATCGAAACCATAGCTCATCAATGGCTCGTTAATTGCATCATTATAATTCCAATCTCATACAAATTTTTTATGAATCACAATGTCTCGACTCAACATCATCTTCTCATTAACTAGATTGAATAACATGTATGCACCAGTTTTATGATATCCTACCAGAATCATAGGTTCACTCTTGTCATCAAGCCTCCTTCTTCTTGCATCAGGAACATGTTTGTAACACATAGAGCCAAACACCTTAAGATAACTCACTAATGGTCGTTTGCCACTCCATACTTCTTCAAGAATCTTGTTCTTCAATATCTTGGTAAGACACCTATTCAAAATATAAACGGCAGTCGAAACAGCTTCATCCCATTAAGATTTTAGCAAATTCTTTTGCTTTAGCATACATCTCACCATATCCAATATGGGTTTGTTTCTTCTTTCAGCAATTCTATTATGTTAAGGATTATAAGAAGCAATTACCTCATAATCAACACCATGTTTTACACAGAATTTTCCAAACATCTTTGAAGTGTATTCGCCACTTCCATCTATTCGTAGAACTTTGATCCTCTTCTCACTCTGGTTTTCAACAAGCATCTTGAATCTTTTAAAGATTTCAAATACTTCTTCCCTTCTCTTGATCACATAGATCCACAACTTTTGACTAAACTTATCGATAAATGAAACAAAATATTTATTTCCACCAATGGTATGTTCTTCGAATGGACCACATACATCCGAATGTACCACTTCGAGTATGCATGATGATCTCATTGGCATAGTCGAAATAAAATAGTTTCTGGATTGCATTCCGACTAAACAACCTTCACAAAGTTTGTCGAGCATCTTATGACTTCGGATACCAGATACCATATGTTGAATAATCAATTGATTGAGTGATAGAAAGTTCAAATATCCAAACCTCAAATGCCACAACCAACTATCCTTGTGGTCGACAATAATTTTTAGACATTGGACTTCAGTCGAACTGATCATAGTCTTAAACGTCTTGTTCTTCGACAGGGGAGATTTTAAGACTAAATTGTTCTTGGTGTCGAACAATTTTAAACTCCATCTTTCATGACAACTGAGAAACCTTTTTCGATTAGTTGTCCAACAATTAGCAAGTTGTACTTTATTACAGGTACATAGAGTATAGTTTTTATCATAGCTTTCCCTCCATTACTCATTTGAAAGACTATCTTGTCAGTACCTTCTGCTTGCAACAAACTATTATCAGCAAATCTTACCTTGCTCTTATTCAACTCGTCAAAATCTGCCAACAACTCCTTTCAACCAGTCATGTGATTCGAGCAGCCTGAGTCGAGGAACCAAATCTTGAATTCGACATGGTTATCTGCAACTACAACCATAACCACCATACATTCTTCAGAATCATCTGAATCTTGGCGTGCAAGGTTCGCTCCTTCGTCCTTGCCTTTTGTCGATCTATTGTCTTTCTTGTACCAACAATGTTTAGCCAAGTGACCCCACTTTTCACAATTATAACATTGCATGCCTTTCTTATCTTCTTTGTCTTTTCGATAGTTTCCTCTTCCCTTTTTGAGGATTCAGAAGATCTATCTTTGACATTATTCTTGTGGGGATTCGACCAAGACTTGTTTCCTTGAGTCTTATTGAACTTGTCTTTAAATTTGTTGGAACCACCATCCTTTTTTTATGACTGAGCTTGCAGTGCCTGTATCGAGTCTTGAATTCCTTTTCTTTCGACAATTCTCATCTCATGCGCCTCCAACGAACCAACCAAATCTTCCACTTTTAGGGTTTCAAGATTTTTGGATTCTTGAATAGCTACAATAATGTGATTAAAGTGAGAGGTAAACATTATCAGTACCTTCTCAACTATCATCTTGTCAGTTATGGCTTCACCATAATCCTTCATAAGATATATGAGTTTCTGAACCTTCGACACATATTATTTAACTTTTTCATCTTCTCCCATCGACAATAATTCATATTGACGACACAAGATTTGTAATTTGATAACCTTGACTTTCTCACCTCCTTCTTAATACTTCACCAGAATATCTCATGTCTCATTCGCCATTTCAGTATGAGAGATTCTGTCAAAGTTAGTAGCACCGAACGTCGTCTGAATGCATAAGAAGTCTTGCAACCTTTCTTATTTACTTCGTTGTGGGATTTTTTTTGTTCGTCGGTTGTATTTGCAGTCAGCGCAGGAACGCAGTCGGTAACTACTTCTAGGGTTTCTTGGAAGCCAAACAAGGATTGTATTTATTTTTCCATCGAATCCAATTCTTATCGTCAAGTATTGAAAGAGAATTTGCAATACCTTTATAGCAGCGCTTTCTGAAATAAGCGTTGTCTATGATGTACTGTTATTTTTAATTTTTGACGTAGTGTCACAAGAGAGGTGCTTAGCTACTTATAATGCTATTGATCATGGATCTTATTGATCATAATTAATAAGGTGGGAAATATTAAGAGTCTTATTGATGTAACTTTTACCATATAAAATATTGTATAACTCTTGCTAAAGTGATTTTGATTTTGAGGTGAATTCAACTTTTCCATAACAAATAACTAAAATATTAAGTTATAAATAAAATAGGTTATAAAAAAGATAAAACTGAAAAAAGAGATATTTTACATCAAAAATCAATTTTTTATTCACTTTTATTTTTTCTAAATACCGATATAGTTTTTCTATTTTTGTTTTCGCACGTTATTAAAAAAATAGAACCTTAGTAATCTAGAGCTCGTACGAGGTATAGATACGGATTAAGTGTTGTTCCCCAATATCAACACAGATATTTAAATAATGTGATTTGTTGTTTATGAAAATTATTTTATTTTGAAAAAGCATATCAATTAAACAATATCTTAAAATCAAGTAAAATTAAAAATCTGTAAATTGAAAGAAAGATCTTGTAGGTCTAAATATCTCCCAAAGTATCTCAACAGTCTTAAAAGTGAAGTGCAAAAAGCATATGCATAGCATATATATAATTGTTAAGTGGTTGGAAATTTAAAACGCTCTAGACTTTTTGGTCCCAATGGTACATTTCTCATAAAACACTTGCAGTGAAATATACAAAAGAGAAAAAAGTAAAATTTATGATCTGAATTCAATCACGTGAAAGAAATGGAAACACAAAAAAGACATAATGCATTGAGTGTGGTTACACAAAGAAAGCAAAATTTCTACTTTGGGTAATTTCCACTTGTAAAGAGCAAGCAAATGTAGCTGCAAAGACATAGAAGCCACGTGAAAATACACATCGAGTTACTGTGTATGTGATGTGTGTGTGGTGTTAATTGATTTTTCAATACAAATTGTACGTAACTCATGAGAGCTACAATGCTATACAAATGTTTTTATCATGTGTAACTCATTTTCAACGTGCCTACTCATCTTCCTCCCGACACCTATATATATCACCTTTGAAATCTCTGTCTCATGCATTAAACATTAATACTCAAGTATGTGTCGTGTCTTCTCTAAATATCATGTGTTCTCAAGTACGTACCCCTTCTCATATTAATATTGCTGCTTCCTTCTCAATATATCAAGCTATACATTTGGAATCAATTCTTTATAGATTCTCCTTTCCAAAAATCAATGTAAGTGATTTACGAGTTTTCTTCTTCTTCTTCTATGTCTTTGTTCTTTTCTTATTCAAAATTTTGTAGGGATGGAAACTTGAACGTAAAGAAACAATCGCTTGATGTTTCTCATGAACAAGACAAGTTTGACGAAAGAGAACTTCAGGTAATATGAATTTAGTTTATGATATTTATTAATAATTTGTTTTCTCTAATCTTTTGCATGGGATAATTAGTATGACAAAAAAAAAGTTATGATTAACAATATGTAATGTGTAATGTGTAATATAGTGTATATGATATTGTTTTAATAGTAAATACTTCTCTTTATTCACAATAAAAGTTTGATTATATTTTTTATTTTTATTAAGTTTATATTAGATGTTTTTTATTTATAGACGAAATGATAATAACTTAGGCACACACAACTCTGAGATCTAGGGTTCCGACCCTAATGTTAGGTGTCGAACCTAAAATATCAAATTTTGTCAATTGAAGTTGAATTTGCAAGACATGTATTAGAGGACTTCTAATATATAGTTGAAATTATTTGCAGGCAAGAGTGATATTATGGTTGGCAAGTCAAGAAATGGAAGGAAGGAATGGTAGTGAAGGAATCCATCCAACACTATCTCTTTCATTGCAACCTCAAGCATTATTAATGCATGCTTCACATGGCTTTTCCATAAAGCGATCTCTTCAAAATTTCCTTCACAAGAGAAATAAAAGGATTCAAGGTCACGTCTCTATTGTAAGGCCACATGATGATAATAGTACAACTTAGCGAAATAATTTGAATCCATTCATATTGTTAATTTGTAGGATCAATTGAAGCCTACAAATGTGTATTTTATTATATTTTGATTAATGTAGCTATGACTTGTGACAATTAAGGCACGTTTTTTATTTTTATGAATGAAGAATGACACTTTTAATCTCTGCTACTAGAGCAATGAATTATGAGGAAAATGTGGATCCGCCGAATTCAACATATATAACTTTGAAAAAGTGGAAAAAATAGGCATAAAATTGGCACCATCGTTAAGAGCAAAGACATGCAACGTGGTTGAAATATTGGACTATTTTATTGCAAAAGAAAATAAAATTCGCACAAGGGAAATACTAACAATAAAATGTGTTTTGTATTCGTTAATACCTTTCTCTAAAAAGAGGGGGTTCTTTCCTTTTTTTTTAGCTCAGTTAGTAATTAGAGGTAATTCATTCCTTTTTGAGATTTAGATAGCACTAGTTGGAAAGTAAATATATATAGAGTAAAAATTGATAGTATGGACTTTGCTAGTAGTAAGCTATGAACAAGACTATCGTGTATATAGTTAAACAGTAGAGTGAATCCATCCAAGGATGTGCAATAATGAAGGGTTGGAGTGTTTAGCATTTAGGATTAGACAAAATACTCTTTTTAGTCTACTAATTTTAACTTAGGGTTCAATTTAAGTTTTTAAAAGTTTGAATTGATCCTTTAACTTTAAAACAGAGCGATATGAGTCTTGTCCGTCTATTTTCATCCAACAACGTTAATATTTATACGCGCGGCAGCGGAGTTGGCAAAGGATCTTCACCTTCTTTAGTTTCCACTTTCTTCTTCGTTCCCATTGTGTAATTTCTCCTCAAATCGAATTAGGGCTTAGGGCACTATGCCAGAAATAACCTACGAAAGCGCTTTTTTTGGGCTTTAAAAGCGCTTAAAAGCGCTCTCGTAGGTGGCGCTGCTAAAGGTTTTAGCAGCGCTTTTTGTTCAGAAAAAAGCGCTCTCGTAGGCCTACCTATGAAAGCGCTTTTTTCTTAAAAGCGCTTTCATAGGTAGGCCTACGAGAGCGTTTTTTCTGAAAAAGCGCGTTCATAGGTGTATTCAGAATGCGTATAAAGTAGGCCTATAAGAGCGCTTTTTGTTCAGCTAAAAGCGCTCTCGTAGGCCTACCTATGAAAGCGCTTTTAAGAAAAAAGCGCTTAGGTAGGCCTACGAGAGCGTTTTTTTCTTAAAAGCGCTTTCATAGGTTTTCTACTGAAAAATCTAAAATTTAAAAAATTTCTAAACCTGCATTTTTTTGCAGCAAACCTGTAATTCTTAAACCGGTATTTTACAATCTAATCTAGAAATACCAATATATATTAGTTTTAATCCAAATACCAAATGTAATTCAAATACCAAATATTATATATATATACAAATACCATTATAATCAATTCATATCCAAAATATATATACACCATGGTAATTCAATATTAACATATTTTTAAACGTAACAAAATACACCCTAAGAAATCAGCTATATAACACTAAGTAAATCAATCCTAATCTACATATATATCCAAGGTCCTGATCCTGCAATATGAACATAATAACACGGTCAGTGTTGTATACACAAAACAATATATTCATAATTAACCAATTTTCACACAACAATGTATTCGTACCTTATTATAAGATTCTTAGCTCAATAAAATATTGGCACAACTCCTCTTTGAGTTCTTCCAATTGACGTGGCGAGTAATATGGACAATTGTATTGATCAAAATACTACATTACAAAACAAAATATATGCATGATTTAGTTTAATGTAATAAATTATATGCAAAATCCGATAAGTAATAAAACAAAGTATAAATTCATACCGTGATTGGAATCTCGATTTCATTCATTTGAATGATTTCTTTGATAAACATCAAAACGAAGTATCCGCAATCTATGCTGTTTTGTTGTTGAGGGCACTACATAGAAAAACAAATAAGATTATACACATCTATTGATTTATCAAGTAGCATAAATATTATAAGCAAAATTGTTGAAATTTATATACCTGTACTTTGATCCAATTAATGTTGTTTGATCTAGACCGTGGTACTCGTGCTCCCCTTTGACATCGGAATACTTGTATTGAACTGATGACAAAATTAAAATATTTATTTAGAACAATGACATTGAAATAATTAAATATATAAACACAAACGAATATTTAGAATAATGTCACTTACGTATCAATCACTAGCTTCATTTCTGGATAATTTGTCCAATCACCATCAACCGAATTCAGGTAATAGACCACTTCTTTTATGGGATTGATTGCAAGCAACAACCAGTGACATCTATAAATTAAAGCAACAATTTAGAAGCGAATTTTAATGTAAAAAATACAAATATTAAAAGGAGCTTAGAATGAAAATCTAACCCTGTATTATAAGGCAAAAGATACAAGCTCTCTGTACTGGCAGTTGTCCTGAATCTTTCGACCAAGTGTTCTCTTACTGAATCAGGTTCCCTAGAAATTGTTGCTCCGCTAACACGGGAGGAAGACACGAAACGGAATCTATTTGACAATTGATTCCCGCGCATCAATTTGTCAAATAACATCCTTAAATAAAAACATAATTAATATTAGACTATTTCAATTAAATGTTTAAAAAAAATGTTCAACCAATTAAATAATATATTGATCGGGTTACCGGATGTACGAGTGCATCACACTGATGCCTAACTCTCGATGATGAAAGATTTGTTCCATGTCCTCTAATCCAATTGTTTCGGTACATGGAAAACCAAAGACAATTTCATCCACATCGATTTGACGAATTCCATCATTCATCAAATCTGACGTGCCAACTAGTGTCTCCAGACACTGTCGATACCTAGGCACAAATCTACGGACAGGAACCTTCTTCTTAGGTGGAACCCTACTACCTTTCTGGCTCACCTGCTGTGACTGATCTTGAGAAGGTACCTTAAAAATCATATAGAATTATGTAAGATACAAAGTTATGCAGTTTTTTATTCCGATCATAAATGAAACACTATAAAAGTACCTGTCTTTGCGATGCAATAGACTCGCCGCACTGCAAAATCCCTTTATCCTTAGATGCGGGTTTTGCAGGAGTCTAAACTTACCATGTATAAAATTCAGGTCAGAACTGTCAGTTGAATACTTAAAGATTCATAATGGTTTTCAACATACCTGATCATCTATGCAGATGAGGTCTGATGGCCATGCCACAAAAGATCCTACTGCATCTCGCAGCAATGTGGTCTCCGCAACAATGTCAGGTACCGGTAGCAATGCATTCATATCTAAAACAACATCAACCGATACCTTCATGTGGCCATCCGGGAGCGGTCTATGGTGAATTAAATCTCCCGAGGTGTTGTGCACTTTTCCCTTGCCAACTACCCGATAAGTCGGAGAAGCTAGATACAACTGACAACATGAAATGCCCTAAACCAATAATAACCGTTAGACTTCCTTTAATGTTGACAATAATAACCGTTATAATTATACTTTATCTAAATATAATGGATTATCATCTTAATTACCTCGGGAAAATTTTGTTGACGGTTGATACTAGCCTTGTCACTAGTTTCTTTCAACTGTGAACTGCTCCTTTCTGCCATATATCTCTCTTTGTCCATCTGCAGTTCACGGACTTGTGCTTGTAAATCCTGCAATGTTTGCATCACTTCTGCATTGCTAGGATTTCTTTTTCTTGGATTGTTATACAGAGAGGTAGGAGTCACACCATGGCCTTTACCCCTCACTCGTCCCGGATACTCAGCAACACATAGTGCTCGACTGAGTACGCTCCTGATATTCGAGTCATCACCCGAGGATACCGATTGCGATATAGTCTCCTGTAATTCATTTAAATATCGATAATTAAAGACACAACGTTAACTATATATTAATTAAAGACATAATGGTATACTTACACACTCATCATAAATATGTTGCAGATCGGGGTTAACAACTTTATCTCTGCCAACACGAGCTTCCTTCCACAGCACATGTGCAGGTAGTGTTGTTTCGTCACTCTGCGTCTCCTCCAACTACGCATTGTTACAAATAATAAAATCATCAATATACATTGTTACAAATTAATAATACACATTGAGATAATTAATAAGATCGTAGAATTGAGCTTTACTTACAATTTTTTCCTGTAAGCGTGCATATCCCAAACGACCTTTTTTATATGGATATGCGGGTTTTGACGCTCTATCTCGATTTACAGCACTCACTTTCTTGAAATTATCGTCTTTTCTTTGGCCCACAAAAGCAACCCATTCTTCGGGTGTAATGAAGCTCTCATATTTTTTTGATCGTTCAGGATCCTCTTCAACAAAATTTCCTTCATCGTCTTTAAGAAACTTATTTGTCAAAAAATTTCTCCACCCTCTATGTCTTTTTCCGGCCAAGCCCATTATATACTTTTTGCGGGCATCTTCAATGTTAAAAGACCTCTACAAAAAAACATACGCATATAGGGTGTTAGTATATGTAATTTAAAAACAATATTTTCGTCAAAATAAAGCAAATAACAACAACCATATATGATACCTTTATCTCGGTCCAAATTCTTTCTTTAGCATCCAACTCTCCTTTTTTCCAGCTAGTAGTGGTGATCGGAATGTGCATACGAACAAGCGTACCGATGTAGCTTGTCAGCTTTGCAGAATTAGGCCCAATTAGTTGGTCATCATTATTCCAATCTACATTATACGTAATACCTCTATCTCTATCACTGATGATTCCCCGCATGATAGTTATGCCTCGTGTGATGTCCTTATCTGAAGTGTCTTGTGGAACATTATCTTGTGGAACATCTCCTTGTGGAACATTTTCTGAATTATCTTGTGGAACATCTCCTTGTGGAACATCGTGATACATTTTCTGTCAAAATGCAAAGTATACACGGAATGAATCCGTATCAAGAAAATGCAACATACGAAAGACAATTTAAGACAAATTCATCACAATATATACCAGTAATTTGAGG